ACAGGGAAGGACCAAGGGCCTTGGCACCTGGGGGGGCCGCTCCAGCTTACCGAAAAGCTCCTTGGTTTTTGGGCAACTATCTAATATGTGGCCCATGCTATGGCTTGCCAACTACTCAGAGCAACCTCGTACTTGATTATGTTCTGAAGCATATCGGGGTGTTGCTTAGCTCCACCGTTCGCAGATTCATCTGCTAGATCGGTGCCAAGCGTATGTCGATGATCCTGCCCCGCAACATCGTCGCCGAATGTGGGACTTTACCTTACCTAAGACCAGGAGGGACGATATCTCGAGTGGAGTACGTTCCAGACTTCGCTCCGCGGGCTTGTGCCACTCGCGGCTGCCCTCGGCACTCGGGGGCCTGCAGAAAGAGCCCGGCAGTCAACGTGCAATATGAAAGGCTCGATATCCTCTGAACCTTCAACACGCCCCAGGGCCTGAAGCAAGGCGTAGTGCTCGGCAAAAACGGCGCTCTGCCCGCAGACGTTTCTTTCCAGCACCCCACGAGCGTCAACCTGGATGACCGCCCACCCAGCACGAGCAACATGCGCGCGGGCGGGCGCATGGCAACTCCCATCGGCATGCAGTTCACCCCCGCTCTTGAACCTGAGCTGTTTTGGGTTCCCCCAGACCCATCGAGATATCTGACCTGGCCGCCCCGCGCGGCGTCCACGACGCCTTCTGGCTGGGCCACCCACAGGTGTGAGTGGAGTGGGCCATCCGGTCCAGCTTCGACGACCGACGGATCGACATCAGCGCTCAAGGCCTCGCCTCTCTGGGCGCCGAGGCCGGGGCAAATGTGGCAGCGGTGCCACGCGGTGTCCTCGACCACCCCCCTTCTAGGGATTGGCAAGCAGGGCACGCAGGCGGGATTTCGCACTTCCATTCTCGCAGCCTCTTCGCCGCGACGAGCGACCTACACAATATCTCCTCGACAGATGTTTGGACTCCGCGATCTCGCGGTTTGCTGGCCCAGAAGGTCCTGGGAGGATCCGTCCACACAAAATACTGCGAGCCCTTGGATGATCCGAGCCCCTCAGGTGCTTGGACATGCTCTGGCCCGCGTAGGCCTTGGTGGGATCTCGCACACAATATTTCTCTACCTGCACGTAGGGCGTGGCTGCGGGCAGCAGCGGGTCGCCGTTGCTCATGTTACACGCAGGCGGCCCTCGGATCTCCCACTTAGCCATTTCTAGCCAAAGAGTCATGTCGCTAATCGGCCCCCAGGATCTTCTGGCCCACAAGCTGCGAGAATGCTCCTGGATGCATCCCTGGACCGCGAACAAAACCTTCGACAGCTCACCCGCAGACAAACCGTCTCCATGTCGGTGTTCAGCCGTGGAAGCCATCCACACCTCTTCGGCATAGCGGTGAAGGGTAGTTGCTGCATGCTTGATGGGGTCTTTCGATGGTTTCAATGCCAGCGCCAAGTTCAAATCTGCTCCGCAGGAGGCGAGGCCAAGAACACCTGCAGCCTGACTTCTTCGTTTACGCATCTCTCTCGGAGCCCACCCCGCCACCTCCTCCCCGTGCGCAGTGGCAGGTTTGATCCCGCATAACCAAATTTTAGCACGGGCACGCTTGGGATTTCGGAGGCTCCTGAGTTTACCCAATCTTCTTCTGCCCTTGGCCCACCTCTCGTTCCTTTTTCTGCTTAGCTTTCTTGACGCTCAAGTGTCTGCCTGGTGCAATGTCGCATCCCAAGTCAACAATCGACGGGCCATGCGCACCAGCATGCTGATCTCGAGCCAGGCGGGCCTGTGCTACAAATTCTGGATAAGTCCCTGTAATGGCGAACTTCTTCATTGAAAACCTGAGATTGAACAGATTCGGCAAATGGTCGACCAGGAAAGCGACCGCAAAGCCCGCGTTGACAACACACTGGCCCAAATCTTCGCTCCTCTCGTTCAAATTAAAATCATCTACATGCACGGCTAGAGTTGGCGGCAGCCGACGTTCCCAATACTCGCACACCGCGGGGAGGACGTACAATTTGATCTCGTACGTCGCCGTGCTGCTGCCTGCTACTATGCCACGTGCTGGAGTCTCTGCATCAGCGCACATGCCGTCCAGGCAGAGCATGCGCTGCCAGGTGCATGCACGCATGGAAAACCTTGGCACGTGCATCGGGGAACCCCAGTCCAGGGCAGAGTGAGTCAACTGCTGGTGCTGCACGCGCTCGTAGCATTGCTTCAAATCCGCCAAGAGGCTGAGCACATGCTCTCTAAGGGGAACACGGGCGAAGGGTAGCCGTATGGGTACCTCTTCCTCCTCTGAGGCCCAGGGTCCGCGGCCCCCGCGGGGCGACCCGGGGACAGGGAAGATCTTGCCCTCCTCCTCCTCCTCCTCCTCCTCCTCCTCCTCCTCCTCCCTCCTCCCTCCTCCCCCTCCTCCCCTCCCTCCCTCCCTCCCCCTCCCCCTCCTCCTCCTCCTCCCCCCTCCTCCTCCTCCCCCTCCCCCTCCTCCTCCTCCCCCTCCTCCCTCCTCCTCCTCCTCCCTCCTCCTCCTCCTCCTCCTCCTCCTCCTCCTCCTCCTCCCCTCCTCCTCCCTCCTCCCCCCCTCCTCCCCTCCTCCTCCTCCCCCTCCCCTCTCCTCCTCCCCCTCCTCCTCCTCCTCCTCCTCCTCCTCCTCCTCCTCCTCCTCCTCCTCCTCCTCCTCCTCCTCCTCCTCCTCCTCCTCCTCCTCCTCCTCCCCCTTCTGGCCCCGCCGAAGGCCACGCCTGCAGCGCGGTGCTGCGCCCGTATCTGTGCTCGCCCCTTGGGGCGCGGGGCTGGCGGGGGAGCAGGAGGGGGAGAAGGAGGAGGAGGAGGAGGAGGAGGAGCAGGAGCAGGAGGGGGAGGGGGAGGGGGAGGAGGAGGAGGAGGAGGAGGAGGAGGAGGAGGAGGAGGAGGAGGAGGAGGAGGGGGCCACGGGTCGAGCTGTCCAGTGTCTTCGTGTCGTTCGGAGGTCGTCTTCTGTGGCGTCCATCGGGGTCCGGGGTCGGCCTGTGGCCACCTGCTTCGTTGTCTTCGAGGTTCCCAGTGCGTTTGTCCATGGATTTCGGCATCGCGATTTCGCCCGCCTGGCGTCCACCCTCCAGGGTTTTTCGTTTTTTTGGAGCAGTCTGGTTGGATCGGGAGCGAGAAACTGAAAGTACATGCAGAAGCGTCCCGAGCGTTGTTGTAAAGAAAACTTGCGGAGAGGGCGCCAGGAAGACGAGCGTCGAGGTTCGAGCATGCTCTTCACCCTTCCTGACCGTTCTGGGCCCCAGGGCCGTCAGAGACTGATCTTGGATGTAAAGATGGCCAGGATCGACCCTGGCAGGGAGAGATTCGGGGAGTGATTCGAGCGGAGTTTCCTCGAGGCTGCGGTGGCGGATGCCGACAAGGGGGTCATCACCAATGCGAAAAAGATGGAGGGGCTGGCTGCTCTGGAGGAGCTCATCCCGTCGATCCCGCGCGAGGTGATAGTGAAGCAGCAGACTCAGCTGGAGGACACGAGGGGGAGGAGGCGGCTAGGAAGGAGGAGGTGGAGGTTCCGAAGGAGGAGGGGAGGACCTGTGCGAGCGCTTGCTGGCGCAGAACGCCACAGAGCCGCTACGTCGCCTGGTTGTCTCCGTTCTGAACTGCTTTTACCGTTTTGGCAACAGCGCCGCCCTCCCGACATTCTTCGGGAAGCTGTTGACGCTGTCAGGCGAAGAGAAGAACAAGAAGGTGGCAACCGATACCAAGGTGGCAGCTCTCGACGTCATGGGCGAGCTCATTGTCAACCACGGGCGCAGCCTGGAGCACTTCAGCACGGACATCTTTGTCGTCGTCGCGAAGCACATGAAACTGAATGAAGCGAGCGCCCGCTGCTCGGCCTTCAACTGCCTCCGAAAAGTGATGCGCGTAGCCAGCGTGCGGAGCACCAGTATCGCCAGCAACATCTGGAAGATGCTGCAGAAGATGCTACTGGACAAGGCGGTCAACGTGCGCGCCTGCGCGGCCCGCGCGCTGGCCGACCTGGCGTCCGCATCTCCCTCCTGCGTGGGTCAGAACGGCGACGCGATGGCCATGGCCTGCCTGAAGGCGCTGGCGACGGACGACCAGGTCGGCCAGTGTAGCCTGAGCTCGGAGTGCCGGTTCGCCTTCTCCATGGCCCTCGCCAACATCTTAGCGACCCTGGCCACTCCAGGGGCGTGCCTGCCAGAGGACCGGCCAAAGAAGAAGCCAGAGGTGACGGACCTGGCCTCCGCTGCTGTCTTTTTGGAGAAGGCCGCTGCCAAAGGGCCTCCTGCCGGTGCGATGTTTGTCGCCTTCCGCGCCTCTATCTGCCTCGTTGCCGTGCGGCTTGTGGAGGTGCTGCAGGTGAACGACGCACCCAGCATATCCCTGGTCATGCGCGTGCTGGTGGCCATACTGGACGGCCCTCAGCAGATCAAAGCCAGCCGGGGCGCGGGCGCAAGCTCGGGCTTCGATGAGGAGAGCCTGGCCCAGGTGGGTCGGTACATCTCGGGCGCCCTGCGGAGGTTGCTGCAGCTGGCGGCCTCCGAGACCGTGCTGCTCGAGGTGATCGAGACGGGGCTGATCCCCCTGGCCTCCTCCCAGTTCACCGAGGCCTCCCGGAACACCGACGCTCGCATGGTCGTGGTCCTCGAGGCGCTGTCGAGCGGCTGCACCGCGGCTGGCGAGGCGTTCCGCGGGGCCGAGTCCAAAGTCTCGAAGCCGCTGTTGCACCTCGTCGGCAACCACCCCAACCCGACGGTGCAGCTCAGCGCCGCGTACTGCCTGCGCGTGGTCGCGTGCAGCTCACCTCGAAGACGGAAAAAACACATAAAAATAAACGTTTGCAGGTCCGCCAGGATTTCTTGCATCGGCGCTGGACCCTCTTCCTGGCACGCGGAGCCTGTCAGGGGCGGCGCCGCAGGCGCCGCCAGGGGGGAGGGGCACCGCCGATCCAAGAAATCCGTGCGGACTTCCGAAAGTTGTTGTTCATGCATTTTTTCCCTTCTTCGATCACCGCCTCAGCTGTTCCAGATCATGAGTTTCCTGCTCAACCTCGTGACCGTCCAGAACGCCGAGCTGCTCGGGACGCCGCTGCCCAGGAGAGCAGCGGGCACCCCGGGCGCCGCGAAGGCGGGGCCCGACCTGCAGCCGCTGATGCGCGGCCTCTTCGGCCACTGCGCGGCCCTGGCATCCCTGGTCGGGGAGCTTTTTCGCAGCGACCTCGGCGTGCCGCACGACGTGACCAATGCCGTACTCAACACCTCGCGCGCCTTGCTGCAGCCCCACCTGAACACGACGTTGAGTGCGCAGCGGCGGAGCTGCGCCTTCATCCTGCTGGAGGGGCTGATGTGCCTCGGCACGGACTGGGTCGGGCAGCGCCTAACCACGCTGTTCGCGCTGTGGAAGGCGGCACTCGGCAAGAAGCCCGTGGACCGCGCGAAGGTGCTGCACCAACAGCACGTTGCGTCGGCCTCTCAGGACGGCGGCCCTGGGCAGGAGAGCTCCAGTGGCGCCTGCCGCGACGAGCTGCTGTCGCTGCTGTGTGCGCTGCGCTCGCTCCACGCGTTCACGCTGCACTCGCACGACACCCTGCTGGTCTCGCTGCCGCACCTGCACAAGATCCTGGTGGTGTTCCTCACGCACGTCTCGCAGCTGGTGGTGGCGCTGCCGCACCCGACGTCTGCGAGCTTCCGGGCGAAGTGCAGGAACGACAGCGCCACTCCAGGCCGAGCGTCTTCCCGCTCCTCCTGTTTCCTTCCCTCTCCTCTTCGTTCCCGTCTTCCTTCCCGTCCCCCTGCTCTTCTCCTCCTCCTCCTCCTCCTCGCCCTCCCTCCGCCAATCTCGTCCGCCGGTCGTTCGGAGGTTAGGCCCGTGGGGTCCGACCGCGTTCCGCCGCGGGCGCCCAGATTGGCGGCCTGCGCGCCGCAGGAGCGGCGCGGGACCGAGGCTTGGACCGCGTTTCATATTTTCAGCCTTCAGTCGGCGGCGAGCGAGGGGGAAACGAGAATGATAAGACCTTTGAGAAGGCGGCGGTACTTCTCAGAAGCCCTCTGGCCTTCTCAGCAGTTGTCTGTGTCTTCGGGGAGGGCTCAGAAAACTTGTCAGAAGGCGGGGGGACTTCCGAGCCTTCTGAGGAGGTCCGCCCCTTCTCACTTCCCCCTCGGGCTCGCCGCCAATTCGGCCTTCAGGCCCCACCCCCGCACCATTTCACAATGTGCGTGCTACTCTCCCCTCACCCCTGGGGGCGAGGTGAGAGTGTCCCGTCCACTCCGCGCATGTTAAAACAAGCTGGATTTCAGAGTTTGTTATTGGGCTGGCCTCCGGCCAGTGCCGCCGATCCGGGGGGGGGTGAGAGCGAGGGGAAGAAGGGGCCTGGGGTACCGAAAAAACGTCGGAAATGACGTCGGACATATCCCCGGGTACCGAAAAAACGTCGGAAATGACGTCGGAAATAACGTACGCCCCCCGCCCCCTGCAGAGCGAAGCTTGAGCGAGCTCAAGTCCACGCTATCAGAAACTCACACGCCGGATCGGCGGATTCCATGTCTGCTTTCTACTCCAATCGGTTTCAGTGCTTCCAGAATGGTACTCGCCTTGCAGCATTGGCTCCATCTTCACGCTGTCATTCCTTCAAAATCGTGTTCCCGCTGCAGCCGTGGTCTCTTTTCTGCGTTCTCGGTCACTCTCACCGGTGCTCCCGCTGCAGGGTTGGCCTCATCCAGCGCCTTCTGATATATAAAACGTAGTGTTCCCGCTGCGGCGCTGGCCCCACTTCCGCGAGCTCGTTCTTCTCAAAGGCGCTCCCGCTGCATCGCTGGTGCCATTTCCGCGTTGTCAGTCCTCCAAAGCGTGCCAATGGTACAGCGTTGGCCTCATTTCCATATTGTCTGTCCTTCAAAGTAGCGTTCTGTCTACAGCGTGGGCTTCATGTCTGAAGTGCCAGTCCTTGACCGTGGTGCTCCGTCGCCAGTGTTGGCCTCATTTCTGAAGCTGCATTCTTGACTTGCCCTGGAACCTCCGTCCGAAGGACTGGCACTCTCGACGCAGCGCAGGCCGTGCTGTTGCGTCAGCATGTGGCTTGCGCCTCCCAGCCTTGATCCCTGCGTGCTGGTACTTCAAAATGGAGCTACCGCGAAAACGTTGGCCTCATTTCTCAGGTGCCATGTAGCCTCCGTCCAATGGAGTTGCGCTCTTGCTGCAGCGCTGGCAGTATTATTCGATCGGCATCGGCTCAGGTCTCCCTGTCCTGGTTCCTACGCAATGCCACACCATGCTACGGCATAGCACGCTCTGCCGTGCTCCGGGCTCTCCTACGCAGCGCTGCGTCATGCTCTGCTGCGCGGCTTTTGCCCATTCGGGGTCAGTGTCTTCTTCGACACCCGACTGCGAATGGAGAGGAGCTCTACGCAGTGGGAAGGGATTGGGAAAGAGCGGTAGGACGTCAGATATGACGCGAGCACATCCTGCTTGTCCCCCACCCCTCCCCCTCTTTGCGCGCACCCCCCTTCTCTGACCCGCAGCCCCGGCACGCGCCTCTCTTCGAGGTGCGTGGCCACCAGGGCTAAGCGCGTCCTCGGCATCGCTCGGACTTGTGGATTTTTGTCTTCGGCGAGGACCATCGAGGAGCATCCTTGATCATTTGGTGAAAAAACCACGCACGAAACCGATGAAAGCACAGGGAATGGACGTCCGAGCGATGGCCAGTGTCGGTCCACGCGGTCCTGGGCACGCGCGCCACGCAGGGAGGGTGCGCCCATCCAGCGCGCCACCCAGGGCCCCCCCCCATTTTTCCCGAATCGGCTGCACGTTGGAGCGAACCTCCTCTGGAGTGACCCTTGGTGGGGGCCGACAGGTGTCCTCCGGGCATTGGCTGGCGCGCTTGGTTTGGCCCCCCCGCGGGTCCCGAAAGCCGCGCGCCAAAGCAACTCTTGCTTGTAAGATTACTCTGCCGTGCAGCCGATGGGCTCCCTCCCCGCCGCGCTGCTCCAGGCCACGCCCGCCCGACCATCACCCTCGCGGTGCACTGCGGGATCCCCGACGTCCTCCTGATGATCCGCTCCACCATGCGCCGCCCCCAGAAGTCTAATCCTCCGACGCGGTGTCTTTGTTCACATCCTTCTCGCAGCAGCTCGTCTGAAAGAGCAGCTCGTCTGTAAGGATCCGCTGTCAGTCTTCGAAGTCTGGCGTGGGGCATTGCGCGATCCAAGATCTCTGGCTCGTGGTCTCTGGTTTTGACGTGTGGTCTATGGTCGTGGGTCGTGGTCTCTGGTCGTGGTCTTGACCCCTTCCCCGGAACCAGCTTTTCATCCCGAACATTCTTCTAACAGCTCCCAGGGGGTCCTGCAAAACCCGTAGAGGCAACACACCGCCAAAAGCATCCCGTCGATTCGTGAGCCTTTGCCGCACAATTCGAGGAGGTCTCGGGAGAGGCCCCGCTGGCGAACCCTCCGACCGACCCGACGCGCGCCCTGGCGGGCCGCCTCCGCCCCGCTCCACGCAGCCGCGGCACGCCGGCGCCGCGCCGTGCACGGCCGGCTCGCCCGGTCGCGGCTGGCCACCTGCAACGGTGGAGTCGGGGGCGTCCAAGAGGGAGGTCATGAGCAGGGGGGGGGTATATCATGGCGGGGGCCAGGATATCTCCCCAGCTTAGCTCGCTCGATACGCTGGTGTTGAAACGCAGCACGTACCGTGCTCAAGACGTCCGTGTTAATACGTTGCGTGTTGGCTCGGCGTATTGGCCCACGTCTTGGCGAACGCATCGCGTCATACCTACGTATTCAGTCTAAGTATTGAGCTTCGTATCAATGCGCTACGTGCTTCAGAGCTGGATTTACCTTCCCCGCTTTCGCTTCCGAGCACAACCAAGTTGTACATACCTCGCACCTCTAGTTTGTCAGCGCGCGCAAGCGTCAACCCACCCACCGCATCGCCCTGCAAAGCCACGGAATTCCCAGATTCTGACATTTGGTATCATGTCATGACAATTGGGCACCGTGCCAGGAATGCTTGAGTCGTATTGGAATGTGTTGGAATCGTGCTGGAGCAGCCTGGTACAACACCGGGAAAACGTGGTATTGTACCACACGCGTTTGGTTTGATACCAAGTTCGCGTTTGCATCGTTATTTTGCGCATGCGGACGAGGCCGAAAGGCACCTGGCATTATACAAGAAACCTTTCTGGTAGTATTCTAAGTTTTTCTGGTATTCTATTGAAGTGTCGTTTCGTACGATATCAGGCGTCGTTCAGGACAACGTATAGGAGTTCGGGGCTCGGCTGTGCGAGGGGGCGGGAGGCGCCTTCGAGTCTGGGGAAGATCGACGGGCATGCGGATCGCACGTTGGCGCACGATGTCACGGTCACGCCCCCCGCGAGCAAGTTGGTATTGTTTGGTTCAAATTTGGAAGTGGGGGTGGTCAAAAGCGAGGTAGGTTTTTACGCCTCTCAGCTAGGGCTCAGGCCGTCATGATGCCATATTAGGCGACTTCGGCCGTCTCGGAGGCCACTCCGGCCGTCTTGGAGCCATCTTGGGCCGTCTTGATACCATATCGTGCTAGGCCCAGGCTCGGGCTCGGGCTCGGGCCCTCACGAGGCTATCTTGCGCGTCTGAGGCCAGGCCTCTTGGGCCATGTTGGAACCATATTGGGCCATCTTGCTGGTATCTTGGCCGGGCTCAGGCGTGGGTTCAGACCCTCACGAGGCCATCTTAAGTGTCTTGGGCCGTCTCGGAGGCCTCTTCGGCCGTCTTGGACCCATCTTGGGCCGTCTTGGTGTCATACTTGGTTGGGTTCATGCTCGCGAGGGCCTGCGCGAGGCCATCTTAGGCGTTTTGGGCCGTCTCGGAAGCATCTTGGTTGTCTTGGTGCCATCTATTGGGCCGTCTTGGATCCACCTTGCGTCGGGCTCAGGCTCGGGCTCAGGCCCTAACGAGACATTATTAAGCGTCTTCGTTCATCTCGGAGGCCTCTCGGGCCGCCTCGGTTCAATATTGTGCCGTCTTGATCCCGCCATGGGCGGGTTTCAGGCTCGGGGCGCGGCGTCCATGCTCATGCTCAAGCGCGCGACTCTCGTGCTGCGCGGTCTTGCCGATCCACAGGCCCAACAAGCCACGTGTAGCATCAATGACGGGCGATCAGGCATCGAAGCGCTCTTTGGTCAAGGCCAAGGCGCTTTGAGAAGTGTTCTCGCTATTTTCCGCCTGGGTCTCGTACAGGTGAATCGAGGGGGGGGGGGTCGATGCGAGTGCGCCGAGGGGTTCATGAGCAGTGGGTCAGAGCAGGGCTCTGGTACGAAGAGGTTGTGCTGACGCTCGCGGTAGCCCCCAACGTGATCGCGGGCATCGACCGCGATTCATCCGACCCTGGCAGCATGTCGAGCACCAGGCACGTAAAGGCAAAGTTCCCAACAAAGACTTGGCGAGCTTGGCGGATGCTTTTGGAACGAATGGGAGCAGGCTCGATCGAGCTCGAAATCGGTGGGGCGCCGAAAAGTTGCCAGCCAAATTTGGCACGCCGCCGCGTCCGTGGGAAGGGTAAGCCAGACCCCCCGCCCGCGGTACCTCCAGCCACTTCCAAAGTCTTCAAGATCCAATCCCAGGGGGTCTTGTTAACCTACCATGGATTTCAATACCTCCTGCAGTTTGGAAGATCTAGCGGGTTTGTGGAGTCCAACCGAATTGTGGATGAAGTGTAGGTGCTGCGCGCTGGAACGGTGCGAGGACGGTTCGCTGCACGCGCACACGCACTCGCAGTTCTCCCGTGTTGTCACGAACGCCACCACGGCGAGTTTCGCTTTCGAGGGCATTGCGACTGGGCGCGCTGACCCGCGCGACCTTCCAGGAGAAGGCTTATGCAAAAAGAAGATACAGCAGAGCATGGACACGGGGTTTCTTCTACGCGTGGGCAGACAAGAGAAGCGCGGTCTTCGACGCCTGCGGGAAGGCGCTCACTCGCGGCAACTAAGCCCCCGCATGGACTGGCGCGCAGTGTCCGCATCCACTGGCTGGGCGTTGGCTGGGCTCGAACACGCAAGCTGGGCCGCGACACGTACGGGAGCTACATTTACTCGGCCACGGGCGGCGTCTGCTCTCGCAGTCGCAATCTGGACACGATTGCGGCGAAGGAAAAGAAGGGCAGCATGGGCGAGGAGATCGCCGCCCGGGCGAAGCGGATTCGGGGCAACGATGCCTTGCATCGCGAGCCGCCCGAGGCTCTGCCGCCAAGCAGTGGCTGCAGGTGTTCAGCGAGGGTCGGCTGGAATATCACGTATTGGCGCTGATTGACCCGCTCATGCCAGGGAAGACGGAGTGCGTGCAGGCTTTGTTCAGCAATGCGTTGGAGGTCAAGATTGGCGCCCTGGAGACCTTCCTGGACGGCCCCTGGGCTTTCGACAGGAAGACCCACTGCTCCATCATTTTGGACGACGTCCATGGCATTCTTGGCCAACCAGTGGGAGAATCTCCGGGGGCCAGCGCCTCAGTGGCCTCGCGTGCGCGGGCGTGCACAAACACCTCGTGCATCGGTCGACCCCGTCGCCCCAGCCCGCGCGCATCTCGATCTTTCTGCGCGCCGCGCCCTTCGCGGGCCTGGCGCATCTCTGCGACGCAGGCCCCGATCGCTCGCGCGCGACGGCCGCGGGCTTGCCAAAATCGCGATCGACCGACGGGCCGGCGACTGGGCTCCGTTCGTCCCCGCGCCCTGCCCCGATCTGATCGAGGGCCCGCGGCATTTGCCTTCGCGGGGAACCAGTGAGGAAGCGCATCGGCGTGGTGGAGTTCACCTCCACGCCACGGGGGTCGTGCTGCTACCGCGTGGGCCTTTTTATCGCCCTGGTGGTCGACGCGGTAACTTCTTCCACGGAAAACCGGCATTTGTTGCGCATTCGCGATTGGCCCGGCAACGCGGGGAACCGCTGTGTCGTCGAGAATAATATTGGAGAGGCCTGACGGCCAGCGCCGCTGACCTTGATCGAAGGGGCAAAGAGGGGGAGGAGGGAGCGAAGGAGGAGGAGGACGACGAGGAGGACGAGGAGGAGGAGGACAGGGACGAGCACGAGGACGAGGAGGAGGAGGAAAAAGGAGGAGGAGGAGGAGGTGGAGGAGATGAGAGAGAGCAGGAGTAGGAGATGAGGACAATAATAATGATGATGATGATGATGATGATGATGATGATGATGATGATGATGATGATGATGATGGTGATGATGATTATGATGATAATGGTGATGATGATGAGGATGATGACGATGATGATGCTGAGTAGGAGGAAAATGGAGGAGGGGGAAGAGGAGCAGGAGGAGGAGGATGGAGGAGGAGGAGGAGGAGAAGGGGGAGGAGGAGGAGGACGAGAACCTCCTCACGACGCCCTCCGGGCTTTCTCGAAGGCTGCCGGGGGTGTCGGATCTGGGGGGGGGGGGGCCCGGGCCCCCCCCGGGACCCCCCGGGTCCGGCCCCCCGCCCCGCACCGGGGAAGGGAAAAGGGAAGGGGCTTCCCTTCGAAGCACCGACGACGTTCAATCAATTGCTTGGCACGGCATGTGCAAGGAAGAGGATTGTGTTGACGGAGAGCGGAAGAACGGTGAGTGGAAGGTGGATGCGGCTAGAGAAAGTCGAGCAGGAAAGAAAGCACGACGCGAACGGAGAAGTCCCTCTCACACGCCGACAGGGTCGGCGGATGTCGGAAAACCGGCATTTGTTGCGCACTCGCGACTGGCCCGGCAACGCGGGGAGCCGTTTTGTCGTCGAGAATGGTATTTTTTTGGGCTGCGAGCAGCAGGCGCGCTCTGCCCGCAGCAGCAGCCCGTGCTTCGGGCCCGCGACGTTGGACGCAGCGAGAGCGTCAGCGGCGCCGACGAATCGAAGCGTCTCTGCACTTTCTGCCCGCCTGCCCTCGCCGTCAGCCCCCCTGCCAGGCAGAATGGGGATCCGCCCGCGTCCGGCGCCAAGCAGGAGGGCCGCCAAGGGGGCCCCGAGAGGGTTCTTTGACCCTAAAAGTAGCCTTGCCCAGTACCTCGAGACATCCCACCTGATGAAATGGGATGCCCATGAGATGTCGTTTACTGACGTAGTT